TTTATGCTAAAAACTCTCAATAAACTAGATATCAACAGAAGGTATCTCAAAATAATAAAAGCTATTTACAACAAACCCACAGCCAATATCATACTGAATGGGCAAAAACTGGAAACATTCCCTTTGAAATCTGGCACTAGGATGCCCTCTCTCACCACTCCTATTCAATACAGTATTGGAAGTTGTAGCCAGAGCAATCAGGCAAGAAAAAGAAATAGAGTATTCAATTAGGAAATTGAATACAAATAGAGTATTCAATTTCCTAATTGAATACTCAAATTGTCTCTATTTGCAGATGACATGATTGTATATTTAAAAGACCCCATTGTCTCAGCCTAAAATCTCCTGAAACTGATAAGCAACTTCAGAAAAGTCTCTGGATACAAAATCAATGTGCAGAAATCACAAGTATTCCTATACACCAATAACAGACTTAAAGAGAGCAAAATCAAGAATAAACTCCCATTCACAATTGCTACAAAGAGAATAAAATACCTAAGAATACAACTAACAAAGGATGTAAAGGGCTTCTTCAAGGAGAACTACAAACCACTGCTCAAGGAAATAAGAGAGGATACAAACAGATGGAGAAACATTCCATGCTCGTGGTTAGGAAGAATCAAAATTGTGAAAATGGCCATATTGCCCAAAGTAATGTATAGATTCAACACTATCCCCATCAAGCCACTGATGACCCTCTTCACAGAACTGGAAAAAAAAACACCTTAAACTTCATAGGAAACCAGAAAAGAGCCCATGTATCCAGGAAAATCATAAGCAAAAAGAACAAAACTGGAGGCATCTTGCTACCTGACTTCAAACTATACTACTAGGCTACAGTAATCAAAACAGCATGGTACTGGTATCAAAACAGAGATATAGACCAATGAAAATGAACAGAGACCTCAGAGGCAACACCACAAATCTACAGCCATTTGATCTTTGAAAAAACTGACAAAAACAAGCAATGGGGAAAGGATTTCCTGTTTAATAAATGGTATTGGGAAAACTGGCTTGCCATGTGCAAGAAAGCAAAAACTGGACCCCTTCCTGACACCTTACACTAAAATTAATTCCAGATGGATTAAAGACTTAAACATAGACCTAACCCCATAAAAACTCTAGAAGAAAACCTAGGCAAAACCATTCAGGACATAGTCATAGGCAAGGACTTCATGACTAAAACACCAAAAGCATTGACAACAAAAGCCAAAATAGACAAATGGGATCTAATTAAACACCAGAGTTTCTGTAGAACAAAAGAAACAATCATTAGAGTGAACCAGCAACCAACATAATGGAAAAAATTTTGCATGCTACCCATCTGACAAAGGGCCAATATCGAGAATCTACAAAGAACTAAAACAGATTTACAAGAAAACAAACCTATTCAAAAGTGGGCAAAGGATATGAACAGACCCTTTTCAAAAGAAGACATATGAGGCCAGCAAACATATGAAAAAGTGCTCATCATCACTGGTCATTAGAGAAACGCAAATCAAAACCACATTGAGATACCATGTCACTCCAGTTAGAATGATGATCATTAAAAAATCTGAAGACAGATGCTGGAGAGGATGTGGAGAAATAGGAACACTTTTACACTGTTGGTGGGAGTGTAAATTAGTTCAACCATTGTGGAAGAAAGTGTGGCAATTCCTCAAGGACCTAGAAATAGAAATTCTATTTGGCCCAGCAATCCCATTACTGGGTTTATATTCAAAGGATTATAAATTGTTCTAGTATAAAGACACATGCACATATATCATTGTGACGCTGTTTACAATAGCAAAGACCTGGAATCAACCCAAATGCCCATCGATGATAGACTGGACAAGGAAAATGTGGCACATATATACTGTGGAATACTATACAGCCATAAAAAAACAATGAGTTTGTGTCCTTTGTAGGGACATTGATGAATCTGGAAACCATCCTTCTCAGCAAACTGACACAAGAACAGAAAATCAAACACTGTGTGTTCTCACTCATAGGCTGCTGTTGAACAATGAGAACACATGGACACAGAGAGTGGAGCATCACACACTGGGATCTGTTGTGGGGGAATAGGAGAGGAACAGTAGGGAGTTTGGGGAGGGATAACATGGGGAAAAATGCCAGATATAGGTGAGGGGAGGATGGAGGCAGTAAACCACCTTGCTATGAATGTACCTATACAACAATCCTGTATGATCTGCACATGTACCCCAGAACTTAAAGGACAATTTATATATATATATATATATAAGATTTTTTTAAATGACACTCATTTTATAGTATGACAGCCAGAACAAGAAGGCAGAACTTGGTCTTGTTTGACCTCACTGGGATAACTCAAATTTTGGGTGCAGTGGGGCACACCAGGAGATTCCAATTTTTCACTGTGCTGTGCAGGTCCAAAATATGGACCATAAGAACACCATAAGTCTAATATTAGGGTTACAATAAATATTAGCAAATAGACAAATTCTCAAATACAGAATCCATATATAAAGATCAACTGTATCTGTAAAAAAAATTAATTATTATAGTATTATATTACATTATCAATTTTTAATTTTTATTTGCATATTTTCTTAATGTACAACTACCAAACTATATTAGATGGATTTAAACATTATTGGTTGGTAATAAATAAAGGCCATAAAGTAATGTTATACTTTTCTCCCCCCATGATATTTCTTCCCCAACTTGACAGAGAACAACATGAGAAGTCCTTGAGGAAACCAAATAAGAGCAATGGAGTGTCAATGAAGATCTAAAAAGATATTTATTCAGGGATTTAGGGACCATGTATATTCAGCACAAGGCTATATACCTTGGGTGATCTGGGTTATATGCTAGGGAAATCACTAGTATGTCCAAAATGTATCCTTTATTACACTACTACCAAAGCAATATTTTTTTTCCCAAACCACCTGCCACTCTACAAGAAATAACACAGCAGAATCAGGGTACATTGAAAAACAGACTGTGACATGAATCTGTCATCAAGCTTCCACTCAAATGGGACAGCAAATACATGGATATGATGTTTAACTCACTTCATGACCCTTAACACTTGTGATTTTATCATTCATAATCTTTGACATGAACAAATTCAACATCACTATTTATGAGCTTAGGATAAAGTAGGCTTATTTCCAACCAAGATCTGGAAGTAATGCTGGCATTGAAATGCTGCTCACCATCACCAGTTCTGCTGAACTAGCTATCGTTGGATGTCTGAAGATAGCAAAGCAACATGTCCTGGTGAGCTAGAGTGAAACAAGCAGGAAAGCCAGAAGAAACACTTCCAATGACACACAAAAATCAACCTTAGATGGCTTAGTCTAATCATGACATGTTAGAAGAGTGCTTCATCTCTAGTAGTTAGCAGTGAAATGGTTCCACTTAAGCAAAGGGCATAAGCAGGACTGATAATACCTAAGGCTTCAAGAAATCAATGATATTATTATAACAGGGACTATATTATATTCGTATTCTCCATTAGTGATTTTACCAGAAGAATCCTATATTCTGTCTGCTGCCTTCCTTTCTGTGTCATCTCTTTTCTCTCATATTCAATCCAACAAACATGTAATACATAGCTGCTGCAGAAATCTTCCCCATTTGGAATTTGTGTGTATCGTCATGCCTCCGCTTGAGAATCTCACCTCAGTGGTGACCTCCTCTACATAACTGCACATCTAGTTTCCTTGACCTCATGTTGTTGATGTTCCACCAGGAGGCCTATCTAAGCCCCTCTCCAGCCATGGCCCTCACTGTTCCGGCACTCTAGCGTCAGTCCTTTCCTTAGGCCTGAATCCTCCAACCAGAAACGTACTCTTCTCTACCAGTGTATATGGATCCCTTTCCTCAAATCTCAAAAGTTACATGAATAGAAAGGTTCATATAATCCTCCTCAAACACATACAAGTATATAAAGAAAACTGATGTTTTTTAAAGTTATTATTTCTTTAGAAATCCCCTAACAAGAGTTCCACTTGCTTTACATGAGATTTATCATTCATTTCACTTTTATAACTAAGCTAATAGACCATATATGTGTAGTTTTGTTTCTTTTCACCAAATGCGTGTTTATATTTTTTCAGTCTTTTCAAAATATAATTCAAGTGAATATACTTAGCTTCTTTTGTTAATGTGTATATTAATGCTAGATGCCAATAAGATAAAAGCCTTGTTGTTTAGGCAAAGAGAAATTTTCCAAATGTCGGTAAGTTGACTACATGTTTTCAAGGCTTGTTGTAATTTGTTTTTGTGTTTTGTCTTGCTCTTTCTTTTTCCTTTTGATCTAGTACTGAAGTTACAGTTCTACATATGCTTTGCATATAAATGAATTTAACGCTATTCACTAGGACTTCATAATCACATTTGAGATCAGAAACAAGAGTTTGTTTCTACCTCCTTTGTGGCTTATATTATCCCTTCTTATAACTGGAATCATCAAAACGATGCATGAAATGCATGTAGATCTCTCCAAAAACTTCAGTGTCATTTTTCACTCAATATCACCTATTAACCTGTTGTTTTGTCATACCAGTTGGTCTCAAAGCAGAGCCCAGAAGAAAGTAGACACGTGGCAAACAGGATTTTAGTGAAGTAAAATGACTGTGGAAGGTCATACCCACATGCATGAGTAGGACACTCAAAGCTGCTGCTGCCAGTCAGTGTTTCAAAAGTAGCCCCAATAGGCACTGGTGGGAGGGCACTGATGACAAAGGTCACCTTCATCACAGTTTTGCCCTAAATCCCTTTTTCCATTCGCATAATGCCTGGTTTTTTAAAGATGCAGGTCCTTTGTATTATATAGGAGGTTTCGATATGCTATACCCTCTTAGGAACTGGTCTGCCATTTTGTGAAATGCCAAAAACATAGTCAGGTACTGAGTTGTAAATGTCTGTGGTGCCTATGATCGAATGTATTTTTTTCCTGCATGATCATCCATTGTGGTGTTTGTAATTAGCAAAAAATGAGCCTGATTTGTTCTCCTTTGTAGAGCCAGGCCGAGGCCCACTACAAAGGAAGTAAACATGCCAAGAAGGTCAAAGCACTAGAGGCAACGAAAAATAAACCCAAAATGGTTTCTTCCAAGGACAGCGCAAAGGCTAATCCCAGCTGCTCCATCACTCCAATCACAGGCAACAACTCTGACAAATCAGGTCAATGACACTTTTTGTTCTTTACATTCTTTGTGTTTCTCCTGTTCCCCTGCCCTGACCCCATTTTCCTGCCCTCAGTTGTTGCATGTTACTCTCCATGATTTGTTTTCATGATATTAACATGTTTCCTTCATGGGAAGGATTATATGTTTGCACGGAATCTAAGCATTTGATATGTTGCCATTCCATGTTGTTAAATATATACGTTTAAGTATATATGTGTGTATGTAAATATATATATAAGTATATATGCATGAAAACGAGTAGAGACTACTTGATCACAATGTGTTTAGACTAAAATCTGGAAATGAATCTAAAATACTGAGTTTATTACTTCTTTATTTTATGTTATTTACTATAGACTTTATTAGTGAAGGACTTCTCAAACTTGTTTACTAATAGATATTTTTATGTTCTCTTACCCCAATAAAAAGGAGTTGAGGAGCAAAAGGGGGAAACTTTCTGAGAGAGTGGCATTACTAAATGAATCTGGAATTACGCTTAGTAATAGAAGATATTGCTTTTTGAAGGTCTTCAGAGTTCATCTCAGGGTTACAAATGCACTTACATATTTTAAAGGAATTATTTCCGAAGAAATGAACAGATTAGCAGAAGACCTTTATATGTAAATGGAAATGGGTTTCTAGGTGAAAGGCCTGTGAAGGAGAGTTTATATTTCATAGTACCAGTGAATGGGTAGAATTTCTGAGTAGGTTCATTCAGTGAAAAGATAAAAAATTCATTTTTGTAGCATGGATACCATGAAATTGGATGTTTAATAGGCTTCCACACTCTCACATCTGCCCCTCAGGGCCCGTGACAGATATGTCATCTTGTTTCAGTGACTCATTGAGGAATAGTGCCTGTTAAAGGAGACTAAGAAAAGATGTCTCTTTCTCTTATGTTTGATGCTCTCTTTAGGGGCCTCCCTCTTGTAGGAAACACATTTCTGATTCTCTTCTACTTCTGAAATCATTGGAGAATCTTAGAAGGAGACTTAAGAATGTTTTCCGGTGGCTTTTGGAGAAAATCAAATCCATTACTCTAACAGGAAGGTTCAGAAAAACCTGTTCAAACAAAGAGACTATGGGAAAAGGGGCCATTATTAATTAGGCTCCGTAGATGCTGGCTCCAAAAGTTCTTCAGCCTAGAAGGAGAGAGCTAAGCTAAATTTGGTAATAAAGACTTTTTGTTCTTTGTACAATAAGATCACTAAATCATATTATCTGATGAACAGATACAGTCAAAAATGCCAGATTATGTCTCCTTCTCTAAAGAACACAGCATTTTTATATATATTATCTAATTAGTCTTCAATCAATATCAGTTATAACATCAAATAATGTCTCTACTTTGCAAAATTCTAAACTGTGGTGAGGTACACAGTGTGTCAGTTATTCGCTGGAGGCTACCCAGTGTTTAGAAGAGCAGGAACCCTCACCTGCTGACTTCCTGCCTGGTTTCATTAATGCAGGATATCACTGCCTCTGTGAAATAATACTCAGCAATACTCTGCAAAAGGTTTTGTTATCTAAATTATGCTCTTTACCTTCCAGCAAAACATATAAGTAAAATGATAAAACAATGGAGGTTAGTTTCACTTTATTCTTTCAGATAATAGAACAGTTGGTAGGTACTATACATATTACAGTGTTGCTACTGAGGAAGCTCAGGGTTCCACTTAAGTATGTTATTATTTGAAAATTGGGTTACCTGTAAGTATTAAGCAGAAAAAAAGTGTCAAAATCAGAAATAGAGATGGAACAATCAGAGAAGGATCCATTTTTTTAAAAAACAGTGTGGAAGAAGAGAAAAGAAAATAGAAAAGAAAAGGTCACAGATTAGGAGATAAAACCAAGGATCGAGTGATACAGAAATAGAAAATTCAAAGAAAAGGTCCTGGGTTATAGTTACAGCATGCCTTACACCTATGAGATGCCCAATTTCAATGAGCATATGTTGAAATAAAGTTTAAGGATTCAAGGCTTTTATTCCAATACTCAAATGATAGCGGGTGCTCAGTAAAACAAAAACACTTCCTAAGCAGTTGTATTTGCCTACAGAGCGTTTGGGAAACACTAGGATAAAAGCATAGCAGTGGTGTGAACAAGAAACGAGAATTAGGCTCTGAAACCCAGGGGAGAGAAAAACAAATCTCAACCACAGCATCTCTTCTTCAGTGCATACGTGGTGGTCTTTCTTCCTGCATTCTCTGCTTCCTCTGCCACTTTCTTAACCACCTCCTAGTACCTGTAGTCTAACAGCATGATGTCACTCACTGTGTGACTATCCAGATTTCGACTAGAAGTAAAAGAAACCACCTACATTTGGAGGTTATCTCATTTTTCATGTTTCCTTACTCAAAAATCCATGTAAATTATTTAGTAACTCATTTTCTGGGCCATTACTTTTTTGTTCCTCCGTGTTCGGTGTAAGTATTAATACTCATATTTATTTGTTCTATTATATTTTTAAAAGCTACACCAAAGTCATTGAAAGATGGCACTAATTTTTAAAACAAAAACGTGTATTTGCTAAATAGATATATGTTCTTTTGTCACCATCAACCATATGTCAGCTTCTAAGCAAGAATTTCCACATAGGCTTTATAGAATTTTCAAGTTGGAAAATTAGAAGCTTTGCCCAGATGGGAAATCTGGTCCAAACAATGTAATACCTAATGTATTGTTAACTGCCTGTTTCTAAATCCTTGGAAAGCTCCCACGGCTTTGTCAGAATCATAGATTTTTGTTGATATGTGGCTTTCATTTCATTTAAAATCCCGCTTTAGAAAAACACAAGACACAAAAATCAGTGCTTCGCAAAAGGTCCAGGTACAATGTAGGGAGAAAGAGAGTGGCAATAGGAATGATGGCTCTTATAATTGACTGAAATGTTTTATTTCAGACAATGTTGCTTTAAAGAATCAGCCAAAAATTAGACTAAAAGTCACTGTGAAAATTCATGACTGACTGGCAAATCTCATGAGACTGAAATGTCCAAACATTGGTCTTTTTCTTCTGAATGAAGAGTTCCTGTCAAGTGGGCTTAAGTAGTGTCTGTGATTCTCAGATATTTAAATGAAAAGTGAAAACGTTATTCACTTGATGTCTCAGCTGCCAGATTTCAAATATGCAGGCACTCACAGCATCCACAGGGTTGACTAATTCAATTTCCAGTCTCATGTTTTAGCATCAATAGCTTAGCGACAAAGTGCTGTTCAATGAGAGCAAATTTTGAGAGAGAGGGAATAAACAGGTGTTAATGGAGGGAGCTTGTGGGAGAGCAGCATTCTGGAAACATCCATAAAGACAAGGTGTGATTTCAAGGTATCAGACAAGAAACTTGGGACCCATAGGCTTACTCTTTTTTTGAGACAGAGTCTCGCTCTGTTGCCTAGGCTGGAATGTAGTGGTGCCATATCAGCTTACTGCAACCGCCACCTCCCATGTTCAAGTGATTCTCGTGCCTCAGTCTTCAACTAGCTGGGATTACAGGTGCCAACCACCAGAACTGGCTAATTTTTGTATTTTTAGTAGAGACGAGGTTTCACCATGTTGGCCAGGCTGGTCTTGAACTCCTGACCTCAAGTGATCCACCTGCCTTGGCCTCCCAAAATGCTGAAATTACAGGTGTGCACCACTGTGCCCAGCTGGTGAACACTTCTGCTTCTCGAGAGCACATATTGTGTATTCTAAGAAGTGATCTAAAAGTCTTCCAAGTGCTAGGGAAGCCCTCTTAGCTACTATTTTGGCACTTGGGACAACCATTTTTCTCTTTTATGTTACATTCGAAGACATAATTTGGTTCATGTTATATCCAGATCTGTATAAGGCAAAGAGATCTGTTATAATGGAGCTATCATGTATAAAATTTGGGGATATCATGACTAGCTTTCTTTTTTTCTCTCGGGTCAGTAAACAAAATGGGTTTAAACTACAATAGCATGAATTGAATTTATTATAAGAAGTTCTGACTACATGATTTGAAAAATTAGATATATTTCATTAAAGCTATTCTTTAGTTAGAATAGTTGTTCATTCACTTTTTGTAAGTCGAGGTAGAATTACATGTGAAATCCAAAGAAACAGCTTTATAGTCTCCTAGGATCTGTCCCAACTTTTAATGATGCATCAGAGGAAGTTGGAAACATAATGGGAGGGAGGAAAAATGTGCTTTGGGAGAATTGGGGTCAAAACACAGCAAGCATTAGGCAGCTTCAGGAAGATGGCTAGAACATATTGGCCAGCCACTCTACACAAATTTCCCCCTGGAGTTCAAGTGTCATAATGCCATATGATAATACACTTCCCTGTGATAATATGCCCAATACATCAAATTGAAGGCTCTCTTGTGACAGCATTTAACAACTCATACCAGGTTAAGAAAAATACAGAGCTTTGAAAAAAATCCTGTTTCTTAAAAATAATAAAATATTATGATAGTCAACCTAATGATAAAATATTGTGATAGTCAACCTAATAGTTCATATGTCTGGGCTGTAGCACTGAATTTGTTTTAAAAAATTAGTTAGATATCAAGATGGGGAAAAGATATTTCTAGTTTAAAGTATTTAAAGCTATTTAGAGCTAAACAGTCTTTAATTAGTTGATATCTAAACAGATGAAAGCATATGGAATGATTCAAAATGCCATAGATGTATTTATAAATGCAATTAAGAGCAAAGATAATTGAGTCAGCTTCTTTGGTTGAAATATAACAGTAGGAACACCTTAAATTTGTTCAGCTTACAAGACGTAGTTAGATATCCGTTTTTACTTGACTGTCATAATCCTTTGGTAGATAGTGCTGAAATTACTATCCATTGTTATTCATTCATGCAACAAACTTGGTATCCATTTATTCACTCAACAAATATTGATTAACTATACTAAATAACATAATGCCTATGGGTGCAACAGTGAACAGAAGGACATTTGTTGCCCTCAAAAAGTTCCAACCTAGCGGTGTTTTTTAATTGTCATTGTTAGATATTAGGG